TTATGACTATGGATTCACTCTAAAGGTATGAATAGAATATGTATGTTGTCTGGTACTATGTACGATGCGGGATTAACGATACAGTAGATAATAGAAGAAACAACGTACAGGTTTGGACAGGGTGTGGACATGATTCGCTTCAACTACATCGATAATCCTGCACCGTACACCTCACCGAACAGTGTGCATCGAATATTCCTTCTTTTAGTAAAAATCAAACATCAATATTATGCCATTGTCCTTGCAAAATTTCCTCCACTGCATGGTATATTTGCTAAAAAGTTTACTGTCATTTTTACCAGGGCTGTTTATTTATTTTTTTGTCATATTATTGACATTTGAGATTTTTCTGGCTGGGATTTAAACAAAAATTTCCTGAATTTTTAATATTTTCTCCAATTAAAGGGGCATTCCACTTTGTGCAAAAAGCACAACGAACTTTAAAAGGTTACGTTACCTTTTATGTAAAGTTTTCATGTTAAAAAAATCAACGGTCAGATACATTATGGGAGACCTTTCTCCAGAGTTTGGTTTATAGTTTTCACATATTTGAACAAAAAAATTTTTCGACCTACAAAAAAAAGCAGAATGTCCCTTTAAACTATGGCATGCGTTTCATCTTCTATATAATTCAGCAGATTAATATCTGAAAGCACCGGCCAATTTAAATAACAACAGTTATACCGTGTATATTTTTCACATATTTTCTAAAATTGTTTAATTTCATGCCTATTATATTTTATCTAAGTGGGAACAGTCTGTAAAAATTTTCTATTTATTTTTATAGCTTTGAAAATGATTTGATGTCTGAGGTTTTTTTAGAATTTATCGCAAATTTTGATAAGAAATGTCACAAGGCCAGTTTATCTTGTCACTTTTTTATGCTCTGCAGACGCTCTAATTTCTGCTGTTCTATTATTCCGGAAATTGGATTTTTAAAATTTTTTTTCATGTATTATTAGAGTTCGAGTTATGGTAATTTTTGTCAAAAGCTATGTGGCGAAGTCATTGATCTAAATTTTGAATTTGGGTTGAATTTTTATTATGTGTTCATTGATGTTTAATTTCTGCTGTTCAGGAAATTGGTATTCTTGTAAAAAAATTTGAAGAAAACAGTGTAGTCATATTTTATGGAAAATGCAACACAGGTCTATGTTTGAATCAGTCTTTATATTTATGTTTTTCAAACTTAAATTCAGAACCCAAGCTGGGTGTGTCACAAGTTGAGCAAGGTCATGACCCCTTGTCAGTTTAAAATCAAAGAAACAAGCAGGCTTAATTCTCTCATTGCTTTATAAGATACAATTTTTTTCCCTCATTGCACACTACATGGCAATACAGAAGAGTAGGACGTACATTTTCTATGCTATTGCCTAGTGACAGTGAAAATTCTGATTTAAGTATCGAATCTGTAGTTTTTATATCGTTGAAAAGCTTTGTTGAAAAATTAAATTGTATTAAACTTGCGAAGTTGACAGCCAAGGGCATCAGAAACTTAACTTGTGTCAAGGAATTTATGTCAGGATTTCTTCCAAAGCCCTCTGAGAATTAGAACTACTCCCTAATCCAATTGTTATGGATGCAATTCAATTCAAATTTCCTTTGACACGATTTTATCCAATATTCTGTAAATATTAGTGACAATAAAATTGTGAGAAAATGGATAGTCGTCTTCAATCAAATAAAAATAAATTCAATTGATAAGAATCTATAGTTCCGAATTAATTTGACCCTTTGACCTTTTGTTATGAAAATCTCCAGGGAACCTCCATTACGATCTTCATAGGGTTAGAGGCCATTTGTGGCATATTAATTAAATCTTTTGTTTCCGCCACTTTGTCCGATTTCCTCTTAATAGACATTGAAATGACCACAAGTAACCCCTGGATAATTGGATCTTGCTAATTATTGTAGTCTTGGGTAATTGGTCTTAAGTTGATTCTTCTGTTATTGAATCTGAAATCTTTAACATTTCGTGGACATTATTGGTCCTTAGGGTGTGATGGAGTTTCTAAATTTTATTGTGGGACCAGTTTGTTATCGAAATGTCAATTCTTTTTTTTTTTTTTTTTTTTCGATTTTTACACACCTTCCTGAGCTTAGACTACAATAGTTGCAGCAACCATTCAACATTCACGAACCTTAGATATAGGCGATGATGTGCATAAATATATTTTGGATCTTTTTTGCAAAACCGGAAGTGCCACAGTTCAATATATGCAAGAATAGATAATCGGCTCTAGAAGTTGTATTTTTCGGTCGATTTTCTTTGGGTTTGCATTTTTGGAATCTACTGTTAAAATCTGAAAGAATAGCAGTTTCAAAATTTCAAAATTCAAAAATTTGTCGCAGACATTTTTTTTGCCAAATTTTGCATTTTTTTCATTTTTTTTGCTTTTTGTCTGATTAATCTGAAAAAAATTGAGCAAACACAGTTTAAGAATGTAAACAAAATGGTACAGTCAAATTTTCAATTTCACTTCCGGTTTAAACAGGAAAACGATGTTCACTTCCGGTTGAATATCTTCCGGTGTAATTTGTATAGGACAAAAATTTTTATGCTGATAGGTAGACAAAGTTATGACAAAAAAACGAAGAAAAAAAAATCCGGAACAGACGTGAAACTTTGGCCGCCATTTTGATTTTTCTGAAATGATTCGATTTTTATTCAGACATAATGGCTCATCCGATTTAAATGATTTTGGTGTCAAATGAAAGAAGATAAAAAAAAACATGACATTAGGAAGCCGTTTTTTGATTCTCAATTTTGCTTTTTTGCAACATCCGGTTGAATTTTTTCAAAGTTTGAAGGGTCATATCGCGTGATCGTGAACTTTGATGACCTTGACCTTCATAAGGTCAAAGCTCATTGACCTTAGCTAGCAGTTAATACTTTGACATTTGACCTCCGACATGTACTTCCGGTTTTATAGCTGTCCGAAAACAGCCAAATTCGCAACTTTGGACTGCTCTAGCACGTGACCTATTTAACCTAGAGGGTTAATTTTTTCGGATTCTTAATGTGCTTTTCATGCTCTTTCAAATGATTTATAACAATCGTTTTTTAAAGAAAAATTGAAATTCGTGAATTTTTCAAATTTGGGTTTTTTTTTACAATATTTCTGTTTCTTTGAGCTTGGTGTGTATATATCTTATGACCTATTTTATGTAGAACATTGAAACTTGGAACACAACAAGACAATTTGAATATAAATTAACCTATGACAAAAAAGTTGAGGTGGGCGTGGCACATCCGGGTTGAATCTGCTCTTGCGCGTGATGTAATTATCGTAGAAGGTTGATTTTTTCAGAGTCTTTTGCAATTTGCTACATTTGCAAAGTCCCACTCTGTGCCACGTGTGGCTCTAGTTTTATTTTTTTTAAAACAAGAACTGGAACTTTTTTTTCTTTAGTCCTTTTCATTCCAATCGGAACATAGGGTCTGCACTGTAGATTACCATCTCGCTCTTTCCTGGGCTGTTCTCTTGGCTGCACACCAGGATTTGATGACTGGACTAGTTCTTTATTAAGTTAACATAATATGGACAAGAAAAATTGCGTTTTTACACATGGGGCACTTATTCACATATTTTGAAAGGTTTCACTCATATTGATAATGAACAGTTCTAATTCTTTAGGAATTTATGTCTGAAATTGATAACTCTTGTGCAGTCACTCCCAAAAGGTTTGGCACAAGAAAAGTGTTCACAAAAATGTTTATAGATTGGCATTTGGTCTTGATTAAACAGGCGCTGAATTTCTGAAAATCTCCTAAATTTGATTTGAGCTGTATGCTTTTCAGTTTTCATTGGCGATAACTTCAATTCATGTCTGACCAAACAAATCAGCCAAAATGCAAGAAGCAGATTTATTGAATTTATCAAGGAATTCTCCATAACGATCATAAAATTTCTTACATGACATTTGAATTTTGTGTGTCAAATTATGCCCTTTAGAGTGTTCACAAGCTAGTGTAGACAGACTAGAGATATCTGATGACAAGTATGGTCTTAATATGATAGGCACTTCATTCTTTGAGAACAAAGATTGTCCAGAATTCATTTAGTACCCTCAGCCATATTGAATCAACAAGTCTGCAGAATAAACAGGAATCAATTTAATTGGTCCTAGTCATAACTTCCAAGTCGTTAGGCAGCCATTATGATCGCTATGGTAATTATTCATGGTCAATGAGTTTGTCCGGTCAGTTTTGTCCCGAGCCTTGAGTCATCTAATGGCTATATGAGGTCATGCTCGTTACAAAAACAGGCTTAATGACTAAATTCTATGTTTGTTATTACTCATACCCCTACAGTTCCAAATGACTATACAATCACTATGTTATTTTATCTCATTTCTAATTATTGGTATTTGATGGAATTAAAATCAATTTTATTTCCTTTTCAATTTGAAAAAATTTGACTACAAAAACTACAAAATTACACCACAGAATTGCATTAACATTAGAGTGGAATAATATTAAAATCTTGACTAGTGGACTGAAAACAAACACGTCATATTGGTTGATTTACACCACAAAATTGTATGCACATTAGAGTGGAATAATAATAAAAACATTTTCTAGAGTTCAGCAAGACCTAAATCTTGACTAGTGGACTGAAGACAAACACGTCATATTGGTTGATTTACACAACAAAATTGTATGCACATTAGAGTGGAATAATAATAAAAACGTTTTCTAGAGTTCCGCAAGACCTAAATCTTGACTAGTTGATTGAAAACACACGTCATATTGGTTGATTTTTTGGGGGGTGTTTGTGAGAGTCATCTTGGGGAGCTGGAATATAATCTGAGGAAACACCAATGAAGAATTACATTGTCCTTATAACATTTTGTTATTGTTTGAATAAGAAGTCAATTTTATTCCATCTCATCTATATTACTCATCGTTAATTTTCCTGTATTTTACATGTTTCAGGTAGACTGTATTAATTTGCATGTAGATATTATATAACGTACCTGTATTTTATATATTTCAGGTGGACAATATCAACGCCTGTCTAAGTTTCCTGTCTAGTCTGGGAGTTTGTGTAGAGGGAATCAGTGCTAAAGGTAAAATAATCTATAATTGAAATATTGTTAGCAGAAATTTAAAGGATTGTTAACATCCTGATATAAATTTTACTAAAAAAGTCTTTGTCTGTAGTATGCAATCCTCTGATAATACAAAGCAAAGCAAGTATGCTGGAGAAAGCTGAAGTCAGTGACAGGGGCAAAAGGCACCAGAGGGACACAATACTATAAGTTCTGCTCTTGTGCTGCTTGACTATAAAAGGACATGGGACAGTTGCTCCTGTGTTTCTAGTATCTCTGCTGCAAAGGTTGAGTAGGAATACCCTCTATAAGGTACACAGAACACAATGGAACAAGTTCTGCCCTGTATGTTCCAACTTTCAAGGGGTGACCCAATCATGTTCAAGAGCCCTTATATTTCTAACTTTTACTAGAAAATTAACCCAGGTCATCGACAACTCTTTCAAAATAAAAAATATATAATTTCAAAACTATTTCTAACAAAATCTTGTTTTTAGGATGACAACCAGACAAAAGAAATAATCAACATGTGATAATTTCACAGAAACTAAAAAAATGCCAGATTGAAATGCATGACATAATTGAACATGTGTAGACGCCATAATGAACAGTTTTCAGTCATCAGGATAATAACAAAGTACATAACAGAGATGTTAATTATTTTTACTGACAAGATCACTGTGACCTAAACTTCTCAGACAATTCTCATTTTTTATTCTTAATATTCACTTTTTTATCATCCTTACATTATTATTGCATCAATAGAAAATGCTAAAAGTGAACAATAAATCGTTATAAAGTTCTATTAACTTACCTCTAAAGAATAAAGTATTGCACAGGTTTTTTTTTTCACTATAAAGTAAAGGCGTTGATTTTATTTGCCAGTCATGATCAACTGAGCTTCTTATATAGCTCTTACATAGATTTTACTTACAGGGTTTAAGTTTTCTTTTCCTGATAAAACTCCAGTTCCAGCTCTCTATGTCATTTTTCAAATTACCAATCAGAAAGAAGAGAGGCATGAATAAATCTAATTACAACTTGTCTTACTGTTCCTTTCCTTTCAGATATGTTAAGGGTTTTTCAGTCCCTTATATAATTTTCTGCGGCACATCCTGGCTATGTGGCTATTCATGTCTGTAATGCCGTTTGTCTTTGTTTCAGATATTAAAGAAGGAAACCTGAAAGCAATATTAGGTTTGTTCTTCAGTTTATCTCGATATAAACAACAGCAGAAGTCACAACTTGCTGCCCAGAAATCTGCTGCTGCTGAACAAGATAGGATCAACCAGACCCCAACTCCTCAACATAGTCATTTAGATACTGGTCAGTCTGGACAACCAAGTCATCCCTCTACAGCACAACTCAATGGAGGAGAGGCATTATCAAGGTAAGTGTTTTGAATCTGATAACATGGCAAATAGTCTGTCATATTAGTTAGCTCAGTGGTTCCCAACCTTTCTCACCTTCACACCCCTGGGGCAATCACCTGGACCTTTCACCTCCCAAAAATTTCATCCACATTGTTGTGCTCTCTCAATTCAAAATAAATTCTTCTCCTACACCAGTTGGCCACACCCCCAGGGAGTGAAAACACCACAGGTTGGGAACGAGGGAGTTAGCTGGTTGCAGATAGTAATATGTCATCAACCAACAACACTCCAAATGTTTTAACAGCAAAGTCATGCACAAACATTTCCCAAAAAGTAGGTTTAAGAAACTCAACTACAATAATTCAAAACTCTTTGAAAAAAATATTTAAATCTGAAAATATTGAAAACTGGAAAATCATGTCAGATAATGTTCAAAGCATCCGTTTATCAGTAAGCTGAAAGCAGGGGTTGTTATTAGCCAACAAGGCTCAAAATTATTTAACAGCAAAATCCCTGACAAACATTTCCCAAAAAGAATGTTTTAGATATCAGAACTATTTAAAATAAGGAAACTTTTCAAGTGCCACATTGTTTTAGATTTAGATTTAGTTACCTGAAATGCAGTGGCTTAACTACCATAGGGACTGGTTGAACCAAGTCCACAGGCTCCCACTTCTAAGTGGGCTCCAACCGCTAGGAAAATATGCAGGAAAGCATAATAGGTAAAAAAAAAAAAAAAAAAAAATTCCTGTGGAAGGGGCCAACCTAAGTACACGGGCCCCCATTCATATATAATAATAATAATAAAATCCTTATTAATCCAGTTACCAAAGGTTATCTTCTCTGGAATCTACTAACTACAAATAGCATATATACAAATAGCAATAATGGTATAAACATTTGGATGAAATGAATCCAATTTGAAGTATTGTTTCAACATCTGAAGACATGAAATATAGTCTTTAATTTTGAAGTCCATTAAGGCTACTTTGAGCAAGCTTCTTATGTTTCTCAGTAAGCCTAGAAAAAATTCATATCTAAAGAATAAAAACATTCTTGACCATGACCTAAAGACCTTTATAGATTAAAGCACGAACAATCCCTGTTGTATTTCAATCATATTTTTTAATCTGTCAAGAAAATTGTTTAAAATGTTCTGGTTGTCTGATTGATTGTTGTGATAAAATTTGATAAATCTCCACAAATAGATGTAATAACTTGAGTAATAGAGTGAAAAAAATCTTTCTCTTTCTCCTTCCTTTGTCTTCCATAGTGTTACTAGTATCTCAGAAATAAGATTCAGTCACCCACTTTCCCTTTAGATAGAAAGACTCATCTGGAGGATTTGAGTCACCTTTGTGGTTTTAGTGTCCAATGCCATGAAGATGACATATTACCTGAATTAATCTATTGAATGACTTAAAGTTTTAAAACATTAATCTTTCTTTATGTAATGCCAAAGAGAATTTGGTACTTACTCCTCAAAGCTGCAATGCAAAGGATCATATGTGTAGGATTGAGTTAATGGTTGTAAGCAGTAAGGGCCTCTAACACATCTCTGACTTCATATGCCAGAATTAAAATTTGGAATTCCAAACATGTGATACTTTAAGTATATGTTTACATAGAGATACTGGAATATACTTAATCTTTCTTTATCTAATGTCAAAAAAAATTTGGTACTTACTCATCAAAACTGCATTGCAAAGAATCGTTCATGTGGATGCCATGTCAATAGTATGAACTATGAATATTATGTCACTTGTAAGAAGTAAAGTCCAGCGTAAGTAAATCTTACATAAATTTAGCCGCACACGGAAGCTATCGTCTTAAGGAGAAGTGCACAAATGAATTCTGTCTGAGCTGATGGCTCGTGTGTGCGCTGGACTTAAGGATATCACTATTCAGACACAAATCTTTCTTTATTTACATGCTTTGCAATTCAGAAAAAATGACTTTGTCCTTGACATGATTACAAGGTAATTCTATTTTCTCCATGTTCTAGTTCTTTGTGATAAAACCAAATTACCAGCATGAAAATCAAAATTGAATTTTTGCCAAAATCAATGTGAGATCAGACAAGTACAATAAAATCCAATTTCCTTAATTTCCTAATAAAACTTGGACAATTTCGTTTATTTTCGGTCCAAATATTTTTTATTAGTAAGTCAATATTATGTCTGGATAAATCAAGACCACCATGTTTGTTGTCGATTTTTCATACCAACGACACATTTTCATTAAATTTTGACGTTTTTACAGATTGGTTTTCACCAATTGATAAATTGATTTTTTTTGTTCCGATGTTTGGTTTGTTGATGACTTGATAATTTTACAGCAATTTTTCATTCTTGTTTGACTTTTGGTGTCTGAGGAATCAGATTTGTCCTGTTTTTTTTCTTGTGGTTGATGTATTATCTACTATATTGTAATGAATAAGGCAAATGATATTTTCTTGAATTTATCTGCTGAGCAACAAGCATTTTTCGGTTTTTCACCCTAAATTTTTTAAGGTGTCTTTGAGGCTGTAAATATGTAGAGGCAGAGAAAGAAACTCACTTTTAGTTATATTTGTAAAATTGAAGGATTTTACATGATGTATTCATCAACTTCAGGGCAACTATCAGCTTGCAACACAGAAGAGATAGAAGTTCATCTCTTTTCATCCCAATTAATTTAAACAGAAAAAACATTTTCCATAGGAATTCTCAATTTTAACTAAAATCCAAATTACTTTTTTTCCTGGAACTTTGTCAAATTAATCAAATAAAATCAAAAATAGAAAAAGGCAGACCTTATTTAACAATGATTTTGCATAAATTTTTAAAACTGGTGAGGAAGACGTTGGAAGGTATGAGAATTTCATTCCATGTATCTTACTCTGTGTGAAGCAATTAAAACATTGCCAAGTTTTTAGTTTTTGGCGTAGGAACCAATCGGAACTGTTAAAAAAAAAAGTTCAGAGATATATATATGTGAAACTATATTGCATGATAAAAAGATTTTGGAAAAATATGGAATGATTTAAACCTAAGCATTTTAATATTTAAAATAGACAAGAAAGAATTTTAAAATTTAACAACATAGGTTCACAGTTAAGGATCCTTTCTACCAGATGGCCCTTGGCCAACCTCTTGGCATTGATCTTTCCTGGATTATATGTACCCATTTACAGCTGGGTTGTGAGTGAAGATGACTTGTTCAAGGTCATCAGACTTTCACAAGCCATGATGTACAAGACTACTGTTTAGACCCGGTAAAAAATGCAATAGACCCAATTGCCAAATGAGATAAAGCTGGCTTTTTGCATTTCCTCTGGTCAAGTGAAAGTCAGCTTTAAGCTAGCTTCATGCTTTCAGTTGGCCCCCCCTATAAATTGTCAAGCGCAAAAAGAGAGGTTTTCGGTTCCCAAACCATAACGGTTCGGCAATTTTCCCAGTGGAAACACACGAAAGCTAGCTTAAAGCTAACCTTTTCCCTCAGTGGAAACACAGTTTATATTTCTAAGCCAAACCAACACTAGAATAACATGACTGAGTGAATGATTAAACCATGTGTAAGAATTATCCTAACCATATCATTCTAACCATATCAAACTTTATTACACCAGTAAATCAATTATACTTCTTTCTGTCAGAAATTATTAATTCTTTATGTATTAACTTGTAACTTATTTAATTTAGCTATATATTAACAAGTATTACTTGTACTTACATGCTATTACTTAGTAACTATATAACTATTTACTTTGCTCATAACTGAAAAATAGCAGGCTAATGCTGCTGTCCTAGCAAAACTTCCCTCATCGCACCCTGCATGGCGATGTCAGTCTTCATTAGCTCACATGGTGCAGAAAAGTAAGGCTTAAAACTCCATTCGTTTCATTTCATTTTTTTTTTAATTTGTTCATATGCTTAATGTTTAGTTTTGGAAAGTAAACTAGCTGTCCTTTTTACGGTTGTGTATCCGAAAACAGCCACTTTGGGATTCCAGAGCCCAAAACAAAAGGGCACCCTCCATGTGCTGTGTTTCTGGAGGTACCTTGCACAAGTTTCATTTCATTTTTTTTTTAATTTGTTCATATGCTTAATGTTTAGTTTTGGAAAGTAAACTAGCTGTCCTTTTTACGGTTGTGTATCCGAAAACAGCCACTTTGGGATTCCAGAGCCCAAAACAAAAGGGCACCCTCCATGTGCTGTGTTTCTGGAGGTACCTTGCACAAGTTTTGTTTCATATTTTTTCAAACTTTCCTTATGGTAAGGATATGAATAATTAATACCTTATAAAATTTTGCATGCTGCCAAATTGAGTATCCTACAACAGTCAAAAGTATCAGTGCTGGTTTCTGAAGATTTATGAGGCATATTGCTCCAGTGAGCTGCTCACTATTGTCTTTTTCAAACTCCCCCTTTTCATACTCCCCCAACGACTATGATACAAATATTTTATACTCTGTAAATTACCACATACCCTTTGATTTTCATACAACGGTCGGAAGTATCAGTACTGGTTTCTGAAGATTTACGAGGCCCCTTGCACCAGTGAACTGTGCAGCTGATTGCTTGTCTCATCTGAGGATTTTTACATTTTGATCTAATCTTCGTCTGAAAATTTAATTAAATTACCTCGTTGGTTGTTCTTTGATATTTTATCACCGTGATTTAATAAAAGGCATTTAAATCAATTTATCTTATGAAGTGTTGTTTTATCTGAAGCCTGCACCGTGCATGTTGTCTGCAGTACACTGCTCCGCTGTCCTAATATTTGAACAGTGAATAAATCTCAACGGAGATATTAAGAGAAATTTGTTTTATAAATAAATGATGGTGAGCTTCATGAATTTTAATAAAAAATTATTGTGATTACATGACCAAACTGGCAACAAAATGAAATGAATTGATCAAGTTTTATGTCCTATTTTTCTACACCTGAATGGGCTAATGAAGATGTGTAATATATGCAATCAATAAAATTTTGCAAGGACAGCGATTTTGATTTCTGATGTTTCTTCACTTTATTGTGCTATAGCAGTGTGCATTGAAGGAAATTTTGCCAGGATTTATAACATGCATAGCCTGTAGCATACGGGGTCTCAGTTTATTGTGCTATAGCAGTGTGTACTGAAGGAAATTTTGCCAGGATTTATAACATGCATAGCCTGTAGCATACGGGGTCTCAGTTGAAATAATGGCAAGAAAGCTATTTTCATAAAGCAGCATTGTGCACCAATTTTCATGGTATGTTATTGTGAAATATTTATATAATGATTTTAATGAAGAGTTAGTAAGGGGAGAACATTTTAAAAAGTAGGCTGTTTTTAACAAAAAATAACCAAATGAAGTTAACAAAACAAGGATTACTACTTCAGATAGTATTTGATTTTAGTGTAAATTTTACAAAATCGATTCAGAATTTTTGAGGAAGGAACCCAAAATCAAGCATGAAGACAGCTAAGAGCTGTATTCAGACATGACAGGCAAACACATTAAATTAAATAGATAGAAGCTGATGAAAGAATACAGCAAAAAAGATGTCAAATCTGACTTTTTGCGAGAAAATCCCTGAAATTCTCAGAAATATTGGAAGATTGTAATAATAGGATTAATTATAAAATGATAAAGTCGATCGAAAACTTCGTAACAAGATTATCGTAAGCCGTTCCAAATTGCAATATGATGAATGGTTGCATGACTCATTGGAACTCTTCGATAAAAGAAAACAATAATGGTCTTCTATACTGCAGTAACATTGTGTCAGAGACTAAAAAATACAAATTACTGGCAGTGTCGTATTTTCTGCTTCGAATAAAATGCATTAAAGTTGTCCACGAAGAATTTAAAAACCATCAATTATCAATTTATCTTTCGCCTTCGACTGTCATCGTTTTTGTCCTCGGAAATCCTCTAGGATATTTCTGTGTAGATTTTGGTTAATTGGAACAAAGTGTATTTAAGTTTGGTTTTCCCATGACATTTTGTTTGTGGTCTGTTTTACTCATTTTCGGCAAATTTTGTGGTTTTTGAATTTAATCCTTAATTTGTTTCTTTTTGTTTGAATTGTTGTCTAGTTTTCATCACTTTCCTCTTTGCTTATTCAAGAACAGGTGTTTTATACAAATTTCATTTCTTTTTCCAGAATTCATCTCCTAGCCGGATATTCTTGAAACGATCTTAGCACTAGGATGTGTACTTACCATTACCTTTCTTACCATTACCTTTCTTACCATTACCTCATTACCTTTCTTACCATTACCTTTCTTACCATTACCTTTCTTACCTTTCTTACCATTACCGTTCTTACCATTACCTTTACCTTTCTTACCATTACCTTTCTTACCATTACCTTTCTTACCATTAACTTTCTTACCATTAACTTTCTTACCATTAACTTTCTAAATGTTCCATTTCACTTCCTTTATGAATACGAATGAATTCTGGTATCTGATGACAACATGTGTAAATTGTGTTGAAATGTTATGTACTTTGTTATTAAAGAAGTGTGTTATATCATAATATATTCCTTGTGCTTTCTGTTATAAATATGAGTAGGATAAATATTACTTTAACAAATGATTCAAATATTTTAACAATGTGGACTATTTGAAAATTATGCTTACACTTCACTTCACAAATCTAATTGCATCATGTGCCAAAATGGTGCTCATCCTCGCTAGACACACCTGCCTCAGTTACGTCCAAACTTGTAGACATGTGCATTTATCATGCTTTTACATCTTACTCTGTTATTCATCTCAGAAACGAAATGACTCATATTGTCTTCTTGGCCAATTTCATTTTTAAAATTCTCATTTTCTTACTTTTAACAGAAGTGGAATAATTTCTCAAGTCATGTCCCAAAAAAGGTTGAAATCAATATACCTTTCCTCTGCTTCACATTATATACTGCAATCTTCATGTTAGAAATTAAAATCAATCCTTAAGTTATTAGCGAATATCATTTTCACTTTTTCTCACGCCAGATTTTATTTTCGCTCTAGAAAATTTTACGAGTGACTGATAGTTCGGTGAAAATACACATCCATTAGGCTTTATATCTGGCGGAAAGTATTTCTCGGAAACTCGTTAATTGAAAGATTCTGGTTACACTCGGTTAACTCGACTCATCGCTATTGACGACTGACAGTTATGATTGTGACTCATATTCCTCAGAAAAAAAGAGAAAAAATCGCAAGATTTCTCGTAAAAGTTATCATTCAAAGTGAAGTATAAAAGACGCTAATATGTCCATTCTGTCAGTTAGGGTTGTAAATAATCCGTGAAATTTCTTTGTGGAGATTTCAAGATGTTCAAACTAAAAGGATATGAAATTACTACTGATTGATCTGCCATGTTAAAATAACTGAAAAATCCAGAAAAAAAAACATGGAGAACATTTGATTAATGATGGAAATTGTTGACCCCATTTTATTTAATGATCACCATGGTAATGATGTCTTTTATCCTTTAACTCAAGCTGGATAATCTTTATCTTTATCCACAAAAATACTGGTTGATCACGTCTTTTTCTCTGATTTCAAAAGGGAGATTATTAGGAATTCCTTTTATGTATCATCGTCATTCTAAACTGCTGAGAAAAAAAAGTGTTATCTTCAATCGCTTCTGAACTATTTTCTTACTTTAAACATTCTCTCTTTTTATATTAAAAAAACGTAACTTTTTAAGAAAAAACTTAATTTAGGATTAAGAGAAACTAATAAAAAAAATCACAACTATTGAGCACAATTGAATTTGAACTAACGAAAAAATTTGTCTAAAAGTAGCTGTTATGTGACACTTGAACAGAAAAAATTCACAAAATCCCTCATTCAAAACAAAAAATTTAAAGACTTAGGAAGAAAATGTACGTTTTAATTCTTTATCGGTTCAGCTTTGAACTTTTAACATGGTCTTTCTTGTAATTAATTTAATCTCTTAACTTCTAATCTTGCTGATAAAACTGAAAGTAAAAACTCATGTTTTAAAACATCTAAAAATTTTGTGGAATGGAATCTTTCACTAAGGAAATTGGTCTAGTAAGGCTTAATCAGTAAGAAAAAATCATATTTTAAAACATCTAAAGACATTCTGGAATAGAATCTTTCACAAAATTTGAAAAAGGTTCTGAAAAATCTGTCTTTAAGTTGGCCTAATCAGTTTCAAGGTTTGAATTAAACTACATGATGGACCACTGTTAGCCTCGTTAAGATTTACCACAGTCATATCAAGTTTGCTCCATTGAGTTTTAAAAAATCCTGGAAAGGGAATTTTGGAAACTGAAACAAGTGACTGAAAATATGGAACAAAACAAAACATTGTACTATTGTTTGTCATAGTGATTTATTGTATTAAGATTATATATATATATAGGTTCATTTATTCTCACTATCAGAATTGTAGAACTGTCTGGAGATAAGAGTCTACAAATACTTCACTCGAATTGTTGAAATCAGAATGAAAAATAGTATTATTGTCTTGATATCAATTGAAAGATCATAAAATTGTCATGATATATGAGTCTACTTGTGTTTCTTTGGTTAATATATTGTTGTAGTTAAATAAAAAGTTTGGAAAACCGTCCTCAGATAAGAGACTACAAGCACATTGTTGTATTAGGTATCAAGGCGTGAATGCCGACACTGGGCCGACTCTTTTTTCTTTCCTTGAGAAGGATTCAAACCCGAGGCACCCAATCGAATAGCAAACGACAACCCAACTCGCCACTGACTGAGCTATTCCACTCCAACCCAGCGTTAGAGAGAACAATCTGGTAATAAGAGACTACCAGAATTCTAGATCTAGATTAAGGAACAGTCTGGTAATAAGAGACTATCAGAATTCTAGGTCAAGATTACGGAACAGTCTGGAAATATATAGCTACAGTCTTGATAAATGAGGCTACCTCATTCTAGATCCAGATTATTAGTCTGGAAATAAGAGCCTACCATTATTCTTCATTGAACTTAAGTAATAGTCTGGAAATAAGAGACTATCAGTATTTCTAGGGTGACTATTAAGATTAGACAAGGAGGTTGTTGGGTGGCATGAATTAAAAGAACTGTCAATGATAAGAATTATAGTCTGTCTGATTTATATCTAAACAGTTTGTTTTTTGTTTGCGAATGAAACAAAATTTGACTAACTAAAAAAGACTTCATTCATACCATCTTGAATATGAAAGATTAAATTGTACTATCTACTATGATGTTCAGTGGTAATGATAATTAAATATCCTTGAGATCTAAGATACTGAATCAAAGATGCAAAAAATATTGATTTATGGGTGCCATGGGTAGAAATTGCGAATGTTAAAATTTTCGTGCACCTTGATTTTTGATGACAGTTAGTAATTGCCAGTTCCCCACTTTGTTCTCCTTTTTAGCAAAGACTGGATCAAGTTGATTGTAGATGTTAAAAGTGTAAATATCAGTCAGATTCAGAATTAACCTGAAGTAATCGCACTCTCAATATTTTTATTTATTGAACTTCCTGTATCTGATGGCAATCAGTGGCAGAGTCAGGTTTACTTATATGGGGGCGAAATATCTGAGAGTGTCTGAATTTCTAACCTAGTTATGAGATTTTTCCCCAAAAAACTTGCTTTCGGAGCTGCCCCCCTTTTGCTTCGCTACTGATTGCAATGGCTTTGTCAGTTTGAATTTTTCTGAATAGCGTTAACATATTATATCTTTAATTTCAGGTTACCCAGCCCTTTTAAAAACAACAACAAAAACTCAGCGAATACACCCACCAAAGACTCGCAGGGATCTAATGTTCCTGTCAGCAATGCAAATGTATCGTCACGGAAACAATCATCACAAGGTGCTCACTCAACTTCCAATGAAAAAGCTCGATCTCATCAAAACCAACAGAATAATATATTACAAGTTACTTCAGCAAGTAAGTTTGTTTTTTATTATAATTTACAAAGCCAAACAAAACCAACACATATACCAAAGAATATGGTTTTTTTTAGCTAGAATGTCAATTTTTTATCATTTACAAAGCCAAACAAATCCAAAGTATAAACCAAAAGATAAGTCTGGCTTCCTTCACAAACAAAATCCCCAAAATCAAATAGATCAAAATGAATAGACAATTAAAAACAACAGTTACAATTGCACTGTTTGTTACATTAAAATCATATTACATCAAGATGCCATTAATGAGATATTGGAATTCTAAATTCAACATACATCTAACATACATCCTTTACATGTACATTATCCATTAAATAAAGCAATATTCATTTAAATTGATAACTACTTTGAAACAATGAAATTTATAGATGAGTTGCTCATCTGGGTCTGATTTTGAACATACATAAACACAAACAGTCCATATTCTCAAAAACAAAGTGGACTGTTTGTTTCATGTAATAAATTGGATCTGGTATATTTGTTCAAATTGATACCACTATTCATTATGAAATTCTTACTCACTTCTGATTGATATACTTCCTCATGTGAATATTAGGTTTGCAATTTTCGTCATTACTTGGTTTATTTATTTCTACTTGCAAACCTAGCAAATAGAACAATATTGAAATACATCAGATAAAACAGGAAAAAAAAACTATCTAAGTGGAATTCATTAATTAAACCTTGTCTTCAAAGAATTATATTGGTGATATCGAACATAAAATTTAGCTGATACAACAAAAATATATTCAACAAAACATGTTCCAATGAATTAATGAATCTTTATAGTATGGAATCTATTCCGAGTTGTTTGCTGCTAGGATATATTGCGATTTATCCATTAAAATACTGAACAAAGATGAAAGATTGTTTTTCTATTGTTTTTTTTATGTCTGAACATATCTTTATTCTATTTCGATACCATTATTGTATTTTCTTGTTAGTCTTGTCTTGGTTTGATATATCTATGTCAGTCTGTCCTTCTTGCTCTTTCTGCACTTTTAATTTTTTATTGAATGATTTATACATTTTGTTAACTTGATTTATAAGACATTTTCTGTTGTACTAAGTCTTGTTCTTTACGGTCACAATTCTATAATATGTGTGACAAATTTCATCCAGTGGCGGAGCCAAAGGGGAGGGGAGAGTCCCAAAGGCATGTTTTTCGGGCAAAAATCTCATAACTAGGTTAGAAATTCAGGCAACCTCAGGTATTTCGTTCCCCTCCCTCGGACGTAAACCTGGCTCCGCCACTGATTTCATCATAAAATCGCAAGTCTTATATTTATCATAAAAGTTGTGTTTAAAGTAAATTTGTTTGACTAGGTATCACTGGGATTGTATTGAATTGTAAAGCACACTATGTCTATGCTATGGTTAAATTTCAGATCCTGATTTTTTTCTTCAACCATACTGCATTTTGAATAAGGTCCAATTATTTCTGATGTATTTCCTTCAGTCATTTGTGCCTTCATAAGCACCCACATACTATAGTACATTTGTATGCAACGATCTATTTTATTTGCAATTCCACTAATACTGAAGACATTTATGAGGTCACCGTGCAAAAACTATTGATATATAAGGACCTTTGGAATAGTTCAAATGGAATCACAGAACCACAGACGCCTGACTGAAATTGAAATGGTGCAAATAAATGCTATCAATGTCCCAGAAGCACATAAAAATCCCCAGATGCACTTTCAGTATTGAAATCTTATGAAATCATGATTTAAGAAACTAAACTTTTCTCTGAGGTGATTATAGTTTGTAAATAAAAAATTTCTGATATCTGTGGAACCACAACTTACAATTTCACTGAGGCATGTTATCTGATGTTTATACAATTCTGAAATAGATGATGTCTGACCTGACTGAGAGTATTTATAACTTTAATATAAACAAACGATTTTATTCTTAAATAATACTCCCTTTTGTTTGCCATCCTGCTTGTTTTTTTTGGCTATCTTCAATTGAAATGATAATTCTTATTTATGAGAATAGAATTGGTGTAAAAAGTTTATAATTTTAGATGGAAAATCATTTTCTCTACTATCTTGTATTTACTTTTTGATACGAAATAGGAATTTATTTTTTTGGCTTCAATCTGTTCTTTTTAAGATATATTAAGATATTACGGGTACTTCACTAACAACTTCTTTAAATAATAAAACAATATTTACTGAAAATTTTTTGTTTATTGTTGTGTGTTTTAATGGGCAGCATAAATACATAAGATTTTAACATAATGTTAATGAACTGATACTAACAATAGAGATGTCCTAGAGAACAGCCAATCAAAAATAAGTAGGTTACCTATTTATAGTCTACTGTCTACTGCTTGAAAGTTGACGGAGCGGCCACATTTAAAGTTGAATTATTGAAAGACGAGTTCGAAATAAGTCCAAAAATCATGATTTTGTTGATATTTGGAGAGTGCGCATTCGAGGCAATTTGGTAAATACCGTAATTATTCAGTAAAGTGTAGATTTCGGATCTGGTGACGTTCGAAGGAAAGACATCGGCGCTGTGTATTGGCTATGTCAATCAAACTCAATGATAAGTAGTATGTTAAGGGGCGGAGCTTATATTTACATTCCGTTTACACAGATATAAACCAAATTCACGTGACCGCTGTTATCCAATCAAATTGCGTGATACCGTGTAAACGGAATCATGATTTAATAATGGTGTTTTAATGGGCAGCCTATTGTTTTTATTCTGTTGCTGAAAAACTGCAACAGTCAACTTTGCTGCTGGAATTTTTGTAATTTTCTCACATTGTTCATTGAAAATTGTGAAAGATTGAAAGAAATGTTGGCAATATGGTCACAAAAAATCTTTTGGAAACTTTAGGATGTAGAACTCTATATCATATAACTAGATTGCTAATAACTACTTCTAGTGACTTTTGGACACTTTCTTAAACTAGAAAGAAAATTAATAAATTCTTACAAATTAAACAAATAGATTGTCTATGTAGAATTTCTGAAACATTAAGAAGTAAAACTCTTTTTGCTATCAATTTCAACCAAACCACAGTATAATTCATTCCAGTGACTTTCTGACATTTCTCAATTGATTTGTACTGAAGAATTAAATTAGTTTTTAATCACCATGTTATCACAGTACTATCTCTAATTCTATTAAGCCATGATAAAAAATTGATATTCTTGTTAAAGAGCTGATAAAATTTCAAGTATTTTTTAAAATGATGTTAATTACTTTTGAGAAATTGAGTCTGCTATTGCAGCTTTGACCTCAGAATTCCAAGGTCGTTTGTGCACCAATATTTAAATCAATTATTGAATACTCTTTCAGAAAACACCTTGCTATATTGTAAGAAAAATGTAGAGAAAATCTTAATCCAGTCTGCACCTCATATCAAATTAATTTCAGACATAAAAGCTTTTGATGACTGATAACTCCTGCGAGCAACTTTGACCTCAAAATTTGAAGGTCGTTTGTGCGTTACTTTAAAAAGTCAAAAATTCTTTCAGAATATATTACATTTATATTTACTGATAATTTTGATCAAGTGTGCGACACATTAAAACGTTCAAAATCTTTATTGGTCCTTTGCCAACAGACCTCAAATTTCAAAGGTCATTTGTGCCTTATTTTGAAATATTAGGTATTGATAAATCTTTTAAACACATCACAATTTTATTAATCTTGAAAAAATGATTATCAAGTCTCACCACATTTAGAGGTAATTCCAGTCTGAATAGCTTTATGATGACTGAATCCTCCTGCTAGCAAATTTGACCCCAAGGCGTCGGTTTCAAAAATTGAATGATTTATTTTGTGAATACGTCATATGTAATGCCCATATTGGCTCTAAAATCTCTTTCCATCCCATACCAACTGACCTTAAATTTCAAAGGTTGAAACACCGGGTTGTGTGTGCTTAATTTTGAAAAAATAATACTTGATAAATCTTTCAAATACATCATATTTTTATTTATTTAGAAAAAATGTCGATGAAGTCTGCATCACAGATAGAGCTAATTCCAGACCGAAAAGCTTTTTGATGACTGATATCTTAGATATTATAACCTTTCGCGGCAGCCGCTAGGCAATTTAGATAATTGATCATCAAATATTGCTCCTGGGTGATGGGGACTATTAAGATTTGAAGACATGATAATTTCAGTCTTTTGAGTAATTGCTCTACTGGATAATCAGGAATTTCTGATTTAAATCCTTCCAATTTTATGATAGTAATTTTCTTAGTGGCATAATTTTTGCAGACATTATAATTTATTTGCTGGTCTTGTGAAAGGAAATTTTTCACGATTCCATGACCTACAATGACATATTTAGAGGGGGAGCATGGGGCCATAAAAAATGAAAAATTTATTCCACTTTCACTCTCAAAAGTTAAATGCATTTTAAGGCTTCATACACTAGAAAATTTCAAGATGAACCCACGTGACTAGTGCTCTCTTTAAAATATGCATGTCAAGATGCTCCTCCTCCAAAGCCACACAGCCACCCGTCAATGAATTCCTCGCTAAGGCACTGATGACGAAAATCATGCTTTAAGTTTTCTACTTTCGCTTTCATGTAATATTATGATAGCCATGAAGTAATTAATTTGTGAGATATGATCTAGAATAACTTTAACGAGGCAATTACTGTTAGAAATTTGTAATACTGGTTAATCAAAAACTAATCGAGCTGTAAATTTTACGTTTGAACTGTTTTTGTGATGAAAATAGCACCCTTAATGATGGACATTTTAGAAGCTCCGATTAGAACTAGAGATGACATTGTAGCACTGGATAATGCAAGAATCTCTTAAAATTTTGCAAAGCCATTAAACTGATCAAGACTACAGGCAATATTTTTAAGACAGCAATTAAGGAAATCTATTGCTTTATGGCTGGATGATTATGACTGTCTCAAATTTCTATAATGTGCAATCATAATAGTGACAATAATTGAGCCTTTTCATTTTTCGACCTTTGAGATGATCTTGATCTTTGCCTGCAAATGACATGTTTTTATCATCAACAAAATGATTGACAGAGGCTGTTTAGATTGTCAAGACTGATTTAAATTGCTTCTGAATCACAAAATCATGTTATTTCTAAGTGGCAACTAATCATATGCATTAACATTATGAAAGTTATTGAAATATCTAATTGGTAAAGAAACTGGTATTACAGA